ATAAAAACATTGTTTGCGAATCAACAAATACTTCAACAGAGAGCAACATCTGGGCCCATAACCTGTTGAGAACAGATGACAGCAAGAGATAAACGTGTTCAACTCAACTTTATTTATAAAAAACAATTCTTACATAATTACTACAACAACGTCATGGAAACAGAATACAACAATATTATATAGGCCTGATATAAATTTCTGTTCATTCATTAACAAACGTCAAATAGTATTAAAATTTGGTAGCTAAATAGAACTGCCGATCGCCAGCAGGATTTGAACCCGGAACACTAATATACAAGTCCAGTGATTGGACTTGTATATCAACTCAACATCAACCATCAACTACTCCACAAAGATGTATATACATCAGTTTGCCATAAAATTATTTGAGTTTCCAACTAGTTTCATTAACACTTTCCGACTCCATATTTTCGTTCTTATTATTCGTTAAGAACTATATACTTAAAAACGAACAATCAGTTTTGGAGGATTACGTTTGTTGGTTGAGAACATATTTTGAGGGAGTTAAATTTTCAAGACGTACTTCCGATTTAAAATAACTGAAACACAAATGATAAATTTGCTCGTCTTTGATATGGTATGAGGTATGAGTTATAGAATCATCACCTAATTACCAATCAAGAATGGGTCACATACCTAATTGTTGCTTTCTTCAATAGTCATAAAAAAACTGTTCAGAAAAAAATAACCTACTACATGAAGTTTAAATAAAAATCAAACACTGATATTGAACCTCGACAGGAGATTGCTTCACATAAATATATCAATAATTTTGGTAGTAAAGTGTCAGGATAATAATTAAGTTAATAACAGCACAAATTTGAGGTCCCTACAAACACTTAATAATAATATAAGAAAAATTAAAGGCAGTTTGTAAATACTTAATTTTATACTAACCCAATTACATTATAATTTATTACTTTGATGGTAATGTTACCTACAGCTGCATGATGTAGTATGTCTTAAAAACTTGAAACAAACACTTTAAATTGAGATTAAATTATGTTCATCTCAAGAAATTAAATAGAGAATACATATTACCTTATCTAGAAGACAGGATAATTCTAATTTATTATACTTAGGTGTGGTTTCCAGATGTATGAATAAAATGTAAATCTCAATAGCATTTTGCACTTTCAAGTCCCACTGTTTTCATAATTAATAATGATATATTATGATTTATTATCTTTGAACACTAGACATGCTGTTTGGAGTGATAAAGGTGTATTGCCATATCACCAACTTATTACCTTTGAATGAACCAACTTATATTTCTATACAAGATTCCGAATTTTTCCAATAGAACAATTGAGGAAATGAAAAGATAAAATTTTGTTTAGGACAATAGGACAAAAAAACAGAATAATTAGAAATGTAGATTGTTTGTTCACTTCTTCACAGTATGACTCAGTTAAGAACATTATCATAAATGAGGAAAATGCATAAAACGCAATTGACATAAATAATAAATAAAATGAAAAAATTCACAAGAATTGTTTTTGCTGTTGGAAAGCAAGAACAATATTCCTTGTTGATATTGAAATACTGAAATCAGACTTTATATTATTTCAAAATTGTTAGTGGTATAAGTGTAAAAATAAGGATGAGTTATTATGGACAACTAGAATACTTGAAATTGGAATATAAAAAAGTCATTTATAATGAACCATGAATAGGTATTTTTCATAGGAAGAAAACATATTTTCATAAAAACTATAAATATTTTATAAGTACCTGAGATTTTTCAAAAAGTTCTCGTTCGATCTCTAAACTGGTTTTCTTTGGATGAAGTACTCTAGGTAAAGAAAGTGAAGCCATATCCTGAACACCTTGATTTAAACATTAATAAACTTCTCAAAAAACTGTAATAACAAATCTTCGCAAACAAAATATTAACACAGGCACTCTCAATTTCTCGGAACGAATCGCACTATATCTGTCACGGAATCGAAACAAATTTTACAACCAAGAAACGCGATGAAGAAAGCACAGAGAAATCAAACATTATCAATCAAATCAAACATTATGACCTTGAAAAATAAAGAGAAAAGTTCTTAATGATTTCATTCTTGTTTCCAGGATAGCAACATAAATTTTCATTTTCCCGGTGTGAATATTGAAATCTCCTTGAAATCTCACCGAATGACTTTATTTAAAAGTACGTGTATTCTGTCTATTTATCATTAGTGTCAGCTGTCATGTAGTTTGTAGTGTCCGCTTTTGTGGAATGTCTCGCAAAACTTGCATTTGACTCCAGTGTTATGGAATGGAGAAGGAAGCTCCCAACAGGTATGCTGTTAACATTAGTCTATTGATAAGTTTTTCATTTCATTTTCTGCAGTGAAAAATTGACCAGCAATTTTCTGACCGCAAAATATTAGACCATTTGAATGTTGCTTTCTTGAGAAACAATGATCATTTATTGGGTGCACCATGAGGGTATGGTTCAATGCAGACAAAACAGAAGGCCTGGCAAATTTCATCACACATCAAAATATATCGAGCAGAGATAGCAAATAAATTTTGGTGGGAATGAATCCATCTGGGTGCCAACAAAACATAGCTAACATACAAGCACATGATACCTTAGAGAAGAGACACTTAGCACGGGACAGAAACCATGAACTTTTTGACAGTCTTGAGGTGATTATACTCATCCTAAAAAATTCGTGGAGTTGTTAGTGAATGCGAACTCAATAAAATGAAGCTTATTTTGTTAAAATGTTAGCCTACAACTTGCCAAGCTGATATCGCGATAATTTCTCCACTGCAATCAAATTATATATTTCATAAGTTTCAAATAATTTGAATTTACCGCAAAAATTATGAATCCAACACACAGAATGAAGGTCACAGAAACATGACCTATCAACATGAAAATGCTGCCAGATAAGTGTCTTTTCTGTAAGGTATAATGAAATTGTGGTGGTCATTGACTACTGTCATAATTCTAAAAATTAAATTGTACATAATTATATATATTTTTCACTTCTCTCTTATCTTTGTCCTCTTTTCGAAGGAATCAAAGCTGCTCGGATAAATGTCACAGAGATTACATATATGTTATAATAAATAGTACCTAAGTAGTGTTTGGGTATATCTAGTTGAAAATAGTTTTGATTCCATTTCAAGACTAATTCAGTGCTATTATGGGTGGGTTTGAGGAATTTATCGCAGATTATAAATATTTATTGAATAATGATTTATGTGATATTAATAACATTGATTTTCCTTCCTTGCATATGTTTGTTAACGATTGTGGCCCCGATGCTACTTGTTCTTCGTTCATAATTTTTCCTTGCTACTTGCTAATCGAGTGCAAACATTCTCCTTTAGTTCTCAAAGAAACATTTGCACTTTCACATACTTTAGTGAATAACTAAAAACTATCGAAATTAATGGTTTCATTCGATAGTCTTTGACAACAAAACTTTTTCAGATAGGAAGAACAACATAAATAATAATTACGCGGCTAACTTTAATACATTTACAATACAACTTATTCACAGAATAACCAACTTAAAAACATACATATTTATGCATTTTAAAAATAGTTCACTTTTGATTATTCAAAGATAATCGCAAACTTTTCTAGAAGTTTTATAGTTATTCAATTCTTAAGTTTTTTAAGACATATGATTTCATTTTTTTTTAATTTATCTGGTATTCCATTATAAAGATAGGGTATATTGAAAATTTATTCCGCCAATTTTTCAATACCATTATTTTTTGCACTTATTTCAGTTTTATATCGAGTGTCATGCATTTGATAATTTAATGTATGTTAAAAAACTGTTTCAAAAATTAAAATTTTGGAATGTTTCTTTTTTACAGTACATATAAATTATTTGACTGTTCCATTTTATATGTGTTATCAATCATTTTTCTAAGATATCTGACACACTCACGTATTTGTGTATTATTGGTAATTTTGAGAGGCCTAGACTAAGAAATGAATTGTTATTTATCAAAATGTATTGTCAAATCATTGACTAATATTTTCATAATCCTCTAGAATAATGGTTTTCAATTCAGTCTAAGTTTCAACGGTATATAAAATAACGGGATCATCAGCAATAGTGTGAATTTTTCCTCTAGTTACTAGTGAAAGCATATATATGACAAGCATATATTGAAAAGTAAGGGTCCTAAAACGGTGCCATGTGGAACCCCATATTCACACAATTTTGTATCACTGAACCCATATTCAATTTGAACTTGTACACTATCATTGACATAATTCAAACGATTTTTGGGTTATTCCTTGAAAAGTTTTTTTTAACCCAAATTGTTTGGTAGACAAAAAATCGTTTCATCAGATAATTATCTGTTCTAGATTTCAAAATGTTTTCAATTATTTCGCTAATGTTGATATATATATATATATATATGTTGATATGAGTGTAATTGGTCGATAATTTTTCACATAACTTTTTTCTCCTCCTCTTAAAATAAGTTTTATTATTTCGAATAATTTTGTAAATATTCCTGTTCGTATGATAGTGTTTCAAGTTCATTGATAATGTTGATTATTTCATGTTCATTGGTTTCTACAATATAAAAAGAGTGTTAATTCGTTATGAGTGATTACTTACTTTTTAGAGTATTTTCTGCTAGACTGTCTCCACATTACTAAAATAATTTATAAACGTCATGTAAAATATCCATATACCATCAAACAATTAATAAACTCCCAGTAACCAATCATCATTGATGTTAGGGCTTACAGTTCTCAATTTAGTTCAATAATGGTTATAACATGATTTCCATAATACAGTATTTACTCAAAATTAAGAGTACTTATGTTACACTTTGTGAAAAATGTCCTGATTTCGAAGTCGAAGTTTACATTTTCGAGGCAAATATATTTTGTGAACAACCAAGTTTTAGTTACAAGTGAAAGTGTACTACGAGTCACAAAATTATAAGATGGTATTAAAATATTTTCTTTTAATCAATTCATGAGGATAAAAACAAAGTTGATAATTCATTTAATTTTTATTTTACAATTATTCTTCTTCAGCATTCACTTGTCACAACTTGTTACCATAACTTAAAATGTTATTAAACATCATTTAATATTTTTCTTCAGGCATTTTGCAAACAGTCTTCACTTCGGCCATTGTAACCCAAAAACAAATATTATTGATTGGGTAGAATTTGAGTCTCCTCATCAAAATGAACCTATCAAACACATTTTCCCGCAGCAGAACAAATTATGGTCCACTTTAATTTTAATCAACTCCTGATGATGCTAACTTGGTTATACAATAACGTGTCGAGAGTCAGTATTCTGTTCTGGTAAGGGAAATGTGTTTTAATACAAGTTTATAGATTCAATCTTCCTCCAATCTTTTTCTAGTATTTCTCAGTGCTCCTGAAATAATTTTTCTTTTCTTAAATGTAGAAGATTGTTCACATGTATCTAGACTTTCTACTGTTCTTTCTTTAAATTCCTTTTTGACTGGTTCAGGTTCATAAACTACTGGACACTCAAACTGCTCTTGCAGTACGGGAAGTTGTAAATCAACCACCTTTCTGAAAAAAAAAACGGTTTTTGAAGAATTAGTTAGTAGATGAAATGAGGTTCGATGGGTTAGACTTATTCACCTTTTAATAATCTAGAATCAGCTTATAATCTAGTAGATTACAGGCTGATTTTAGTAGATTATAGGTAATCAATGATCTGAGTGATCATGTAAATCTTCAGTAACAGCTGGAATTTCTGGATACTTCGTATAGATGTAATGAATTGAAACTCAACAAAGAAAAATGTGAAGGTATAAGTTATACTTGAAAAAAGACATTTAAAATTTCTATGATATTCAAGATTCAGACCTGTAGAGATGTTGACCAAAAGTTGACATTTGGTAAACATATTTTACAAAAAGTTAATGAATTCTGAAGTTCTGAAGATAGTACGCTTGATGAAAGACCCTATACCTATGTACGTTCGAAATTTGAATATGCGAGTTGGTAACAATAAAAGGCAAATCAACCAGATTTTTATTTTGCCAAAAAAAATTGTTGATTCATCATATCTAACGGAAAACTTCTCTCACACACCAGAACTGATATTATTGAACTAGCTCATCAACGGATTCTCCAAGATGTCAACTTGAATTGTGACATGAAAAGTCATGAACAGTTTAAAAATCCTGGTCTGTGGGAGGAAGGGTTCACGTCAGATCCATTCTAAGTTAGAACATGTCAGTGAAAAAAAAATTAAAATAAAGTTTAGATTTGCAAGTAGATAAACAACTATTGCCCTTTCCTACTGTTTTTAGGTACCTACATAACCTTACACAACATATGACGTATGTCAAAAGAATTATAGTTATCACAATTTGTGTCAAAAGTTTTATAGTGAATTTCAGGTTTTGGAAACGAAAGATTGTTTTCCTAAACGTCGACCACTAAAGAAAGCTATGTATCAATATTTAATTTTTTTCAATTGATTCTTTCAATTTGTTATCAAAATTTATTAATACGATGAGTTACCAAGTAATTGGACTCTTCTGTGATTTATATTATGCAGTAATTTTTCAACTTCTATTTTTCAGATTCTGGAGGGTACTTATTTACCCAAAAAAAAAATAGTAGGAAGTATGGAGTCCTCCACAAATAAATGTCTTTCAAAGAATAACTATTACTCCATTTAATTTTTCTCACAAAACTATGACTCAAAGCCATACTATTTTTTTTCAATGCCTTTCATTGCCATCGATATATGTTACTTACTCTTCCTTAACTGTTTGCCATTTTCCATAAGGATCATTTTTACCAGGATCAATGATTGGTCCGTAGACAGGTTCTGGAATATCATCTACCACTCTTCTTTCCTTCATTTTTTCTCGAGCTATTCTTGCCCTCTCTTCATCTTCCTCCATCTTTTGAACTTGTATCCTAAATAGAGGACACCGTTGAATCTCAAACACAGAAATATCTAGGTTGACACTTACCTCTGCAACGCCTCTGTTCTTCTATACTTATCTACTTCTTTCAACTGTTTTGTTGTTTCTGAATCTTTTTGTTCTCGTTGTTCTTTAATACTTAGATAACCTTCTTTTGGCGGTTCCCAAACGGACTCTAAATGGAAAGCAAAACAAAGTTATAGGAAAAAACTACCGATTGCTGAATGGACTCACGAATAAACTTAAGATTATTGATCAAAATATTATTTGCTATAAACGTGTATATTTGCACAGATTTTCTCAAGAGATTATAATTAACAAATACTACGAAATTTACATTTTATTGACAATAACAATGATATACACAAAATGACAGTTCTTGTATCAAATTTTTTGGTATTAAGTGGCTGCGAAACTGAATATATCCTCAATTTCATTATACACTATGGTGCAGAAAGTGATATCAAAGAGATGTGTGATGACGTGGGTATATCTGACAACATAGTTTTGACTCTCATGGAAAATTGCATGAATGCATACGGTGTAAACCGACAACTGGTATACAAGTTCAAATTGCTTCGAAACATTGTGGCCAAAGAAAAAACAAGCGTGGTACTGTGAAAAAAAATCAAAAATGACAGAAAAACTAAATCGTGGCAAAACAGAGGCCTACAATTCGAAGAATCTTCTAGCCCTCAAATGGCAAGATTAACAAGAGGTGATTTCATTGAGTACCTTCCACACACGATTGTCCCACTGAAAAAAGTCATTGTTAACTATAATAACATGGGTGCAGTAGATCGTACTGACCCGTTACAATGTTTGATTGAATCTGGACAGAAAAACCATCAAATGGTACAAAAAGATAATTTTTCACCTTGTTGGCATGTCGTACTAAACGCACATGAGTTGATCACTTATTGAAGTTTCATTTTCCCAAACTCCATATATTATATCATCTAAAGGAACCATTGGTTCAGGCCAGTTTTCACTTACCTATACAATAGGTTCATGGACTGACACCTATAAGAAAACAACTACTCCCCTGGATAATACCACGAAGGGCGTTGGGATTATATCCGACAGGCGTCAGTGCAGGAATCTTCACAGAAAATTTCCTGCATATGGTTTTGGCGATATAACTGTGTGCCCGTTCCAATAATTGAAAATCGATTTCGGCAGTTGTTCCCTTAAACTTTAGATGATTTGATTTATAGCCAGTCTTCAAGTATGCTCACTTACTATAGGTGAAACTATATATGTTACACTATTAATTTGGTATTGCTGACATCTATGTCCATGAAATTAAGATATGAAGATTGTATTTTTTGAGACATCTACAAAAAGAAACTTTTTGCTCCCACTTTCAACACCTCATATCTCCAAAACACACAGTACTTAAGAAACACCCTGTGTAACAGAAACAAGAAGGTATCCTAGTCCCGTTAGCCGATAATTATTCATTTTGTTTTTCTCAGTTTTCTCATAAATTTTAGTTGATTGGCATACGTCATACCTAATTTGACATATTTTTATTAAACATGTAAGAAAATTCTATGGTTCTAAAATAAACTGCCTCAAGATTAATGAATGAATATGACCAATACCCCTAAGAAGATACCATGATAGGAATCGATAGAAAAACATATTCTCTGTGTTCAAGATAAGGAATCGGGAACCAGAAGCGGATCTAGGAATTTACTGAGGGGGGGGGCGCACTTGGTGTAAATTTTTCATGAATATGAGGATTTCAAATGGTTTATTTAAACAAGTTTAAGAGGACTCATGCAGGAATCTGGTTATTGGTTTCGGTTTGGTAATGGGCAAGAGTGCAGGGCTAGGCTTAGGCCCCATAAATAAACATTTTCTGCTTCCAAGGGAGGGGAGGCGCACCCTCTGGCTGAATCCGCCACTGTCGGGAACCAGGAGAGATACAAAATAGGATAAATTGAGAAAAAAGCTACTGAGCTCATTTAAAATATGTTTTGAAATTTGAAATTCAAATTTAAATTTTTTTTCTAACGTTATTTAAAATATTAAAAAACAATAATTTTACACCTCATTATCTGTAGGGTAGAGAGGGTGAGTGTCCGCCCACAGCACTTAGGCCACATGTGACCCATTGTACATCCTCCCGAGGAGTTGTCCTCCTAGGTCATCGTCCATCCCGTCCTTTCCAGGAAGGGTGACAGGTCAGTGGGAGACATCTTCTTTACATCGGCAGGTGTAGGCCAAGACTCGCCAAACACACACTCTCTTATTGACGATAACTCCGGGCACTCGCATAAGACATGCCTGACAGTCTCATCTTCTTGTTCACACATCCTGCATAGAGGTGTGTCCACTAGCCCCATATTATGGAGGTGTTTATCTACCGAGGCTTTGGCTAAATCTTGTTGACTCTCTAGTACTAGCCCTGAGCTTACATGTTGTCTGTTCAAGGCTAATAGAGTTTGTCTGCCGTCAGTGCAGATTGTTATGTTTTTGCCAGAAATTCCTTTCCTGGTTATTTCTTTTGTGGCGATTGAGATAACAGTAAGTTCAGTTTGGACCACGCTGGTATTTTTTCCCATTCCTCACTTAATCCTTAGGCTTAGTGATCTGGAGTACACTCCACATCCTGAGCCTTTTGGTTTTTAAGCAGTCTGTATATATGCTTATTGCATTTGTAGCATCTGACTCTGTGGTCTGTTTTATTTGTATTTTGTAGGGTTCATTAAACACAAACCTGGGTTCAATTGCATCACTGGTTGCCTGCAGCAGAGGTTGTACAGTAAGCGCTTCTCGCCATAAGCTGAGCCTCCAATGACCCATTCCTACTTCGAGGTTTACACCAGCCGTGCGCAATCGTAATGTGGCCATTAACGCAACCTCCTTAACGTACAGATCCAGAGGAGTCAGACCCATGATTAATTCCATCGAGGCGGTTGGTGTTGTTCTCATGGCTCCTGTGATGTTTAAACAAGCCAGTCGCTGTATTTGATACAGCGGGGTAAAAGACCCCATGCGCGTCCCACTGTCCTCCGACATTGCTTATAAGCCACATAATTATTCATTTTGTTCTTTTGGTTTTTCTCAATTTTGTCAAAAATTTTAGTAGATTGGCATACGTCATACTCAATTTGACATATTTTTGTTAAACAAGTTGTAAGAAAACTCTATGGTGTTAAAATAAACTGCCTCAAGTTTAATGAATGAATGTGACCAATACCCCTAAGAAGATACCATGATTGGAATCGATAGAAAAACATATTCTCTGTGTTCAAGATAAGGAATCGGGAGCCAGAAGCGGATCTAGGAATTTACTGAGGGGGGGCGTACTTTGGGTAAAATTTTCACTATGAATATGAGGGTTTCAAATGGTTCATTTAAACAAGTTTAAGAGGGCTCATGCAGGAATCTGGTTATTGGTTGCGGTTTGGTAACGGGCAAGAGTGTAGGACTAGCTTAAGCCCCATAAGTAAACATTTTCTGCTTCCAAAGGAGGGGGGCGCACCCCGCCACTGTCGGGAACCGTGGGAGATACAACATAGGACAAATTAAGAAGAAAGTTACTGAGCTTATTTGAAAGATGTTTTGAAATTGGAAATTCAATTTAAAAAAATGTTTCTAACGTTGTTTAAGATATTAAAAAACAACAGATTTGAAAAAATCGCAAATTTATAAGTTACTGTCATGAAGACATAAAATGTCTATAGTCTATTTCAAAAGAGTGTAGAGTAATAAAATCTCATTAAGTATTCAAAAGCGCTACAGGGTGATCCGTCAATAAATTCTGTCACTTCCCTAGTCCGCATTGCAAAATTATGTCGTTTCATAACGAGCAGGTAGGTATCACCCTGTTTTAAGGGATTTGTCCATTGTTATCGACGGATAAATACTGAGCCAGAGGCGCGCTAGTGGGATAATTGCCAAAAGAATATGCATTCATAAAAATTATATTAAAGGAAATAAAAATTTAATACAGCAGAACAGTGTTATTAAAAAAATATAAAATGTAACAATAAAATATATACGAACCGAAATCGGGAAATACTCACAAACACACACGAACGAACTTTACGTATTGAAACACTTGTGGGGACTTTAAATCAATTTATTCACAAAAACGACAAGAACTTTACTGGATACGTTATTACAATTTGACACTTGAACAATACTAAAACTGTGAACTTCCCTTAACGTT